CTTCTTCTTTCTTCTCTCTCTCTCTCTCTCTCTCTCTCTCTCTCTCTCTCTCTCTCGTTTGCTTCATCATTTTTTATCTATATCCCTTTGCTTTTCTGTTGTTGAGGTCGATCGACTTCCACCAAAATCAATACAAGCCGTCTCCGTTACCATCTCACAGAAATGGTATGGTCTGATTTCTATATACTATATAGTGTTAGCGTCTGCGCGTTACTAACGCAGCCGATTTTTGCAGCTGAATGTCCTACATTTCAGTTCGATTCTCTGCAGATCTCTTTTATCAAACGTAAAAAAAATTTTACCCAATTTTTTTGTGCAACGCAATTTACAAGTATCTTGCGATATGTCACAAATTAGCTGAGATAATCAGCAATCATGCATTTTACTTGTTACATTATCAAATTCAGATTACTAATAGGCTATTATTTTTGTCGAAAGAAGTCGGATCTCTCTTGTCGTCACGTTCCGTAACATGCCGATCGATAGTTCGAAAAAGTTATGGAAATGTTACGTTAATAAACTCGTAATAACTTCGTGTATGTGCAGCCATTGAGCGAGTCATTGATATAGGGAGTTGATTATTTCCCATTCATGGTCTCAATATTGAAATTTGGTTGGATAATAAAAGAATAAAACAATTTGTTTTCTTGTTTTCTGAGAGATCCGACAGCGAATTTCATCAATTAAATTTTTTTTATTATTTACATAACATTTCTTATAATGTATAGTTAACAACTATATTATATTAATATTATAATATTATTATTAGTATGGTATAACATCTTTTACTAGATATATTGTATTATATAAAATTTTATGTATACTTTTCTTTAAAGAAACTAATTCCTACAAAAGTTTTTACAACAAATAAAATAATTTTATTTTTGAAATCATCAATTATATTTTCCATCTTAAAAAGTACTGATTAATGTAAACATTTTTAATTAATATAAATAAAAAGAATGGAATATCATGAATGAACAGTGAACATGCGTTTGTAATTTAATTGTAATTATCCGTGACATTTAATTATGATAGATCCATTAGAGTCAAACGATACGATTATGATCCGAGTCAGGTTTTATACGATTAAGCGAATGAGTATTCGTTCAGAATAAACATGTCATCATTTATACAGAAAGAAGTAACTAATGACAGAATGAAATGAAAAAATGTGTTATTCAAAAGAAAAATCGATTTTTCTTTATGATTTCTGTAATTTGCATTTGATGTATCCCTGATAAAAAGTATAATGTATTTTAAAAATAATTTTATTTAAATAAAATATGATAAGAGAAACCTGACTTGCGTTATTTATTTAATTGTGAGTAATAGAATTATAAATTATAAGAGAATATAATTATTAAGTTAAGCATTTATAAGATCTTTTTTAAAAAAAGTTTCAGAGATCTGTATAAATTATTAATGCTCAAACATTTTTCTTTTTACACTTAAGATACGGTTGACTCAATTTAAAAACACGCATCGATCTCTTGGATGATACATTGCTTGCGTGCGCAAGAATATATTCATCAATGATTTGTGTAACAAACGCATGGCATCGCTTACCCAATACCAATTCAGGCCAATTAGACGCCGGATCATAATTGTCTCGGTGCTCCAGCCTTCGACTAGCAAACCGTAGCAACAATAGAAATTACGCTCGTAAAATAATATATTTTATAACACCTTCAATATTTTAATGTAAAGTTAGGCAATGATTATTTTGATTTTTTTATTGATTATATGTTAAATATAAATTATAAACTATATATTGTATTAAATATTAGCTAAATTATCAATTTTTGTTTTAGGCAATAATGTTATAAGTGCATTTCTAATGTACATTTAAGATTTCATAGCGAGAGAGTTAAGATTTCATAGCGAGAAAGTTCTGTAAAAGATATAGAGTGTGCACAATTCACAATTTTATTATATAAAATTGAAAATTTTACTTTTTTTTATTTGAAAGATTACAGAAAATTATTTTCAATATAAATAATTGACAAAACAAATCTGTTAATAAGTAATACACATCTTATAATAGATTGCGTGTTAGAAAAGAATCAATCAAGTTTGCAATTACATAATAAAATAGCTTTCGTGTTTCGAGTAGTTTCGATTGATTTTATAGAATTAGCCTTGAGACTTTTTTCTGTACAAGAAACAAAAGCTTCAATAATCCAAGCGTCTCGTCACAACATGTTAATTGGTTTCAAGTCGCAGTGTCAATCAAACAAGTAATATGTATTTACAACATAAAAGAAATATTTCTGAATAGAATACATGTCTTGTACAAAATTATTCCATGTAAAAGTAGGAGTTACATTATATACGATATTTCTAACAACAAAATGAAAATAGCTTCTTGTGTCTTATATTAGATAAAGATACGTGACATTTAACACGTATAATGTACTTGCCGTGTTTAGAATAAATTGTTAAAGTTAAGTTTTCAATAAATAATTTAGTGTTAAATAAATTAATTTAGAACTTTTGTGTTGAATGAATTAAATTGTATGTTTATAAATACATTTGCTGCATTTTTATAAATAGCTTTTGTTTAACAAAAATTTAATATATCAAGATATTGATGTATATGTTAGTGATTCTGCTTCTACTTATAGTTTGTTAATTAAATGAATATAGATGAATAAGTATTTATTTTAATTATTTTAATCACATTTATATATGTGTATGTTATAATAATTGGTAAACAGATAAACAAATAAAGCATAAGAATGTTAATAAGTAGATAATAAATAAGTACAATAAAATATTATATAAAAGAAATTTAATAAATTTTATATTATGAGACGAGATTAAAATTATTTTTTAAATTGAAGAATTATATTTTTTATTTCCAATAATGAATCATTTTAATGAATTTAAAGAAAACATTTTCTTTTTTTGCATTAATTGTTCTTAAATTTAATCATATACATAACTTATATGCATGAATATATTTTCAGCTAAAATTTTGCTGTTCTACGTAATTTTCTATGCCGTCCTGTCCGGCTTCTTCGGTGCGATGCTCGCTGTGTTTTATCAAACGTTGAGTCCGAACGAGCCGAAGTGGCAGCTGGATGATTCGCTGATTGGCAGCAATCCGGGACTCGGTTTTAGGCCTATGCCTCCTGAAAGCAACGTCGAAAGTACTCTCATTTGGTACAAGGCTAGCGATGAGGGAAATTATCTTCACTGGACCAGGGAGTTGGATAAATTTTTGGAAGGTAAGAAAAATATTTGAACGGAATATAATTTCTAATATAAAGGCAAGTAAATCAAGTTAATTATTTTAGAAAAATATTTATTTTGAGGAAACGTTGCTCTATATTCAATTAACTAATGGATATAGAGTTAACATAGTTTTTAAAGTATAATCTCTGTATAATGCAGAATACGAAAGGCCGCCGAGCGGTGCGAATAGCTACGAGAGAGTACTCTGCGATTACAATAGACCAGTACCAGCGGGTAAAGTTTGCGATGTAGACATGACTTCCTGGGGACAATGCACGAAGGAAAACAAATACGGCTTTAGCAGATCCGCACCTTGCATCTTCTTGAAACTGAATAAGGTATGTATATACACTTTTTAAATGATTTACTAAACTTTTATGGAATTTTTATCTCTCATCTCTCTTTAAATCAAGAATATTGCATATATATATATATATATATATATATATATATATATATATATATATATATATAGT